ATGGCGTTTACTAATGTCACTTTTCAACTGTTTTTTAGTGAAGTTTGTAGATTGCACAAATTACAATGACTTGGATGGTGGTTTCATTCTCTCTTTTAAAAGAACGATTGTATATATTATTTTTAACATTTGTGTTTGTAATTAGAGAAGTCCTGCATTCCATCAATACTATTCAATAACATTTCAACTTTCTGTTTGTAATCAGAGAACTCCTGCGTTTCATCAATACTATTCAATGTATAAAGAAAAAATTGGCGACGCAGTTAATGCTCGTGCTCCTTTTCTACAAATTAGTGAAAACTGTACAGCTGATGTTATTGAAAATATCTGCAGAAAAGCGAACATGGAAAAGCGGATGGTAAGTAATGCTTTATTTGTTTCTTAAACTACTAGGACTGGTTCTTTTGGTTGAACAAAGCTTTTTTATTTAAAATTATAGACTGTTTATTGTTCTCTTACAAATTTTTTACTACAAGTCCTCTCTATTCCCTTATGTAGAAAAATAGATTTTGGAGGTGAATAATTCCTTGATTCATTATTCACAAATATGGTACATATATATAGGGAAATCAATCCTCCTTATTTACAAACATATCTCACCAAAATTAGGAAAGGAAAAAAATTTAATAAAGAAAAAAAAAATATTAAGGTAATAAACCATATAAAGGATTCCTAAGATATCCAATTAAATCGTCCAAGATTTGGAGGTGGTGTTCGAACCATAAGAGAGGATACATATGGGAAGAACCAAATCTTCTCGGATTCTTACACTCCCCCTAAAGCTAGGTCCTAAATGCTGTAGAGACTGAGCTTGGTATTGAATTCTAAGAAGGTGCTAAAAGAAAGTGCTTTGGTGAAGACATTAGCAACTTGCTAGTGTGTCAGGATATAGCTTTGTTATATAATTCTCCCATTAACCCTTTTAGAGGTGAAGTGTCTTATTAACTTCAAAATATTTGGTCCTGTCATGATGCGCAAGATTCTTGGAAATCGTGATAGCTGTTTGACTATTCAGAACATCTCTATAGGCCTATTGGAAGAACATTCCAATTTTCTTAACAATTTTTGAATCTAGATCTCTAAATAGATCCCCAACATAAGCATTCTATATTCTGATTTTGCACTGCTTCTCGAAACTACAACTTGCTTCTTACTTTTCCATGTAATTAGATTTTCCCATGCATAAGAGTTGATTTTCTGTCAGTGAGTTTCCTAACCCAACTAGCATTGCTGTAGATTTCCACCCCAGTTTTCTGAAAAAATAATCCATAATTAGAAGTCTTTTTAGAAAACTTAAAATTTTGTACATTATATTCAAAAGCTCTTCGTTTGGGCTATTAATATGCTGGCTCAAAATATTGACATAGTATGCTATATTTAGCCTTGCATGTGATAGGTACATGAGTATTCCTACCAATCTTTGATATATTCCTTTATCCACAGAGTCACTTTCGTCTCCCTTCCTTTTGATCTCTAGTTGGGATCCATTGGAGAATCAACAACTTAAATCCAATCATCCTTGTTTCTTTTAGTAGATCTAGGATGTATTTCCTCTGTGATATAATAATGTTTTTTTGGATTTTGCTATCTTCATACCTAGAAAATATCTCATGGTTCTTAGGTCCTTAATTTCAAACTCTATGACAAACAATTTGATTTTGAGAACCTCTCTTTTGTCATCACTAGTAAGAATCATATCATCCACATATACAATTAGTGCAACAATTTTACGTTCCTAAGTGTGCTTTACAAACCAAGTATGATCAGCTTGATTTTTTAGAAACCCATTAGATCTCAGAGTCCTAGGAAACCTTTCAAATCATGCACTTGGTAATTGCTTGAGCCCATAGAGAGATTTCTTGAGTTTACATGCTAGGTGATTGTTGTAATCATTCTTAAGTCTTAGTGGTATTTTTATATATAATTGTACCTCCAGATACTCATTCAGGAAGACATTTTTTTATGTCGTTTATGAAGTCCCCATTCATTGTTTACTGTTACTGAAATGTTGACCTCATTTTTAGTGAGGTCTTAGTCTCCTACTCCTAAAACCCAAAATCTAGCCTTAGGAGTTCCTTGTTGACCATCTTAGCAGACTAATAATGGAGCCCACCTTCCGTAGAACTTCAAGCCACTTCTTGACTCATTTTTTGTGAAGAACTCGCATGAGTGGTTCCAAACACTAAACTTCTAGTTGCAAGGGCTAAGGACCAACATGTAGAGGGCCCGAAAATGAGTTCCTATAGGATTAAACAGCCTTAGGTGAACCCTTTGTGACTCGATTACTCGCGAACGCCGCAATTCACGCACTCGCTACACCACGCACGAATTTGACTGCACACAAATGACATGGAAATCGTTTTTTTTAATTTTTTTTTCTTTAGCGAGATGCGGGCCCAGACTCAACTCATGTTCAACTCGAATTCGATTCAGGCTGGACTCGAGCCTGAACAATAGTTAAGTAATCTGAATTTCGAATTTCGAATTTCAAATGAAATATTTAATCCAATTTTAATGAAATTAAATTAAGAGTTATTATATGCCATATAAAACTCCTCTCTCATTGGAAATTCATCAATTACCCGCCCATTATCACATAACAGACTTTTTGGAATTCCTCAAATACAAGATCCCGCTTAGCTCCTTCTTGGCATTCGGTCCCCTCTTCTTCTCCCGCTCGTCCATTCTCCTCTGCACCGAAACCCTTCTCTTAATCGCCATCTCCCTCACTCGCCTACTCGCCTCTGTCGCTCACACGCCTCACGCGACCCTCTCCCGCACTCGCCTGCTCGTCTCCTCCCTGCGCCGAAGAAACCTGTTCTTTGCCCGATCCCATTTCCCGCACCGAAGCCGCATATCACGTCTCCTCTCTTCCTCGTCTCCTCCTCTTGGACCGAAACTCTCCTCTCTGCGAACAGAACCCCCGCACTCCTCTCCGAACCGAAGTCGCTCGCCTATTCCCTGCACCGAAGTTCGCATACTCCCTGTACCGAAGTTCGCATACTCCCTGAAGTACCTCCAGCCCGTGTTCCAGTCAGATTTCGCCTTGGAGACCGAGTCAGTACCGCTGCTGTTACAGATAACGCACCTGTTGCGATGAGGCCCGTAGGACGTCGACCAGTTAAGTCGCGTTTAGGCCCGAGAGT